CCTCCTCTAGAGAATTTGCTTCAATTTTCCACTGTTATGTGACATATGTAACAAATGCCTGCTAGAACTGTTTCCGACTAATAATAGTTGACTAATACTAATTTCAGTCATACTGTGCAATCTGAAGCGTCATGGGGCACATGGGATTTGGCGCTGCATGCAGGAAAACCTCACATTACCGTACGATTAATGACTGAATTTGGCATAAACAGAGAAACTGGGTTCGAAAATTCGTTCGAAGCCTTCAACTGCATCTGACGCATATTTATCACTGGCTGTGCACCCCAGAAGCGAGAAAACATTCTCTGAAAGCACAGGTTTCCGTGATCGGGACGCTTGACAGACTGCGAATCGAAAGTACTGTATTATTATGTATTATTTATTATGTACAATTTGGTAATCCGTTGTCGATTGCATAATAAGGCAGCGAAATGTCGATCGAAAAACACACTTAGCCTGTATAGATGCAAGATTTACAATCACACAATGAATAGTTTCAGTTTCTGTATGAATATGTCTAATGGAAGATGTTAAATCTCAAGTAGATTCTTTATCTTCTTCGTCGATACGAATGGTACGGATTCAGTGCTTACAGATACAGCTGAAAGCCCGTTACTGAAGTGTTTATTTTACTACTAATGTTGCCACAAACAATATTTACTATCCTCAGAGCAAGCAGCGAAATAAGGCAGTTTGAGCCGCATTACAGCACCAAATGCAAAAGCTACACGAAGCATTTAATTATGCTTCATGTCTCAGGCACGTCAATACCACTGTTGCTGCCATTGTGCATCCAAGTTTACTCCGCTGAGGCGTAGAGTGATGGACGATTGTCGCCCTGTCTCCCTGATCAACTCCCACGGTAAGGCATTTGTTGCATCCGGTGGGTAGCCACTTGTAGACATGCACAGCAAAATATATATATATAGTTCGAGATGATGATTTCACATGGCTCATATGTTTGTTAATTCGCACTGCAACGGTCCTGAACGTCCACCTGATATAAATACGCTCACAGCTGTTACACTTATGCAAGTAAACAATAAAGTTAATTTGCATACGATGACGATTATCAAACATTTTGTAGGTATGGATCTTACTGTGAGCCCTTTGAGAAAATCTTATCGAGTTTTGATCTCAAATATTTTCCGATTTCGTCTTTCCTGTTGACAATGTAACGACTGGTATGCAGCTTATTCGAATGAACTTCTGGATCAAGGGCAAGATCAACATGAAAGATAATAAAGTTAATTAAATTATTCTGATATTAACGTTTTGGAAGTAGTGAAAATGTTTGATCTCCTCTGAAAAAGACTAGTTATGTGTGCAAGTTTTGAGAGCCTTAATTTGACTTTTGCAATATTGATAAAGATGGTTCACTTCTTAAACTCACACTGTCACGATAGCAAAGGATACAGTGTTGGGGTTGAGAAAGCCTCGTATAAACAAATTTATGATTAAAAGTAAATAACTTATTTTCGTCTTCTGAAATCACATGATCAGCGCGCCTTGCTCATAAATCCATATGGAAGATTTAGGCAACCCACGGCTCCGTGGCATTGGAACACCTGCAATGCCTGATGCATCTCACACCATTTTCTCCGCTATAGCGTCCTCGCACGCATTACGAACGATCTTTCAGAAATCAGTACTCATCATATGTTATCATATCAGCATGAATGTATGTTAATACGCCAAAGGACATCAGATAAAGAGTAAGACAGCAAGACCAGATGTCACAGCGTACTGCATGGCACCCTGGATCCTAGATGCCAATACGGCTATTTTATGCGATTTCTGACATACTCCAGTGTACTAACATACCTTGGCGATATTGCATCTCCTGTCTGACGACCTTTCACTGTTAAACTTTTATGTGATTCCATGAAGTTTCACACTGGCAGTTGCGTTTTTATAAATCATGGCCATGAAGTCTACACATCTTTTCTTGAGACTCTGGCCCATTAAGGAATCCAGTACAAAACTGGTGTAGACTGAATCGAAGCTGTTCTCGAAATTGACGAACCTCAGACAGAGAGGAGGTCCACATTAGTTGCTTGACTGAATTACTTGTGGTACCACCACGAGGCGATCCATTTTACTAAATCCCCTGCTGTAGTCCTGCTTGCTCACTGACTGTGCAACGTTCATTTTTTTACGATGCCTGTTAGTCAGTACCGTGGTGTATTTTTTGCGAATGGTTGGTAACAATCTGATCCGGCCTACAGTTCTTCAGTTCCTCTCTGTCTCCAATTTTGTGCAGTAAAATCAAGAAAGCTGTAGTCAAACTATCTGGAACTTTCATTTCCTTCG